GTATGATCATCTTTGTAACTGTATTTGTGTATATCTGAATAAAGTAACTTACCTCCGTGCTGACTACCAGTCTTAAGTAACTTACCTCCGTGCTGACTACCAGTCTTAAGTAACTTACCTCCGTGCTGACTACCAGTCTTAAGTAATTTCCTCCGTGCTGACTACCAGTCTTAAGTAACTTACCTCCGTGCTGACTACCAGTCTTAAGTAACTTACCTCCGTGCTGACTACCAGTCTCAAGTAACTTACCTCCGTGCTGACTACCAGTCTCAAGTAACTTACCTCCGTGCTGACTACCAGTCTTAAGTAACTTACCTCCGTGCTGACTATCAGTCTCCGTTGCTCGCTGATGTTTGCTTAATAATAGTTCTCTACGGACATCGACCGCTAGGTTTCAAAAAGTTCTATTTTCTTTTTAGATTTTTAGTTTTTCCCTGGGTTGGGTTCTAGCTCCTGGCCTTCAGAGTACTGATCTTGCAGCTTCAATGCCTCTTGCAGGTGTTGATGTACGGTTCTTGAGCCTTCAGAGTTTGTTAAGCAACAAGTCATAGGTTTCTTGAATTTGTTCATGAAAATCTTCCTGGTCTCTTGTAGTTATTGATCTCCAATTCCTGGACCGCTTTGAAGGGTTGAGCAATAGCTCCCAAATCTCTTAAACACACAAACCGGAGCTGCTATGCCTACTTAGGGTTCAGAGCTACAGCTACTGGACCTCTTGCGGTTGTTGACGAGGTGAAGGTTGCTGGGGTTATGTCTTACTGGAGATCCCACTCTTGGTCCTCCCACCCAACTGAAACAAATCTTAGTTTTTTATGGGTGTGGAATGGTAAGCCAGTGGAAGGTCTCGGTACGATGACCAAAAGTTCAACTGAGCGGATTTATCATATGAAAAGGAATAGGAAAATATTTGCTTCCAGTAAATATAGTACATGATTTATGCAAAAATAAATGAATGACGGTAAAAACAGATTTTATGGACAGCCTCTGGTTTCACAAAGCATTTCGGGCAACCTTGAAGCCATCTTCAGACTACAAGACTGTTTTATCGCGTTAGATTAATAGAATACTGTGTTATACAACTTATTACATTTTATTACCTCGCCTGGAGAAACTTACAGAGTACCTTGGCTTGACAGGCAACGCATTCGCTTCACACACAATTCTTCAGTCTCCGGCACGGATGGAAATGTTGAACATGTTTCCGTATACCTGTTCACCTAGCAGTAAGTAGGTACCTGGGTGCTAGTCGGCTGGTGTGGGTGGCATCCTGGCGGACAAGATCAAAGGACCACAATGGTAATAAGACAGACGGTCCTCAATGACACACTGACTTTCTTGGATTATCCTAGATAGCTAACTCTCCCCCGGGTTAAAAAATTCAAACAAATATTATCTTATCTTACCCTGGCGGATAAAATGCCTGTGTCAGTGCTGCTAGGAGTGGCGGCTCGCAGGGCCAATCTGACCTACAGTCAACCTGGCATGTAAGGTCACACCGTTTGTGCCTCTCATTAACCTCATTCTGGCATCTCAGCCAGTAGTTGACATTCTCAAGGCAATGTCGTAAGCATCTTGACATCACGCTGATGTGCTGAAGGGTTGTGTTTCAGACCACTGGCCTCGCCATCCTTCTTTTAACATAAGGAACTGTATTACCAGAAGGGAAAGTGCTCTTGATCTCATTTCTGGCATTCGGAGGCAGCAATAAAAATTTTCGGTGTTCTTTTTTTTTTTTTTTTTTTTTTTTTTTTTTTTTTTTTTTTTTTTTTTTTGTAAATGTCAAGCATCTGATACTATTACTCGCATTTTCATTTCAGGTTGAATTTCCAGCCGATTCATTTATTTTGCTTTCCTTCAACTTGCATTTCTGACTTCCAGTATTTTCAGCATTTTCTCAAATCTCTATTTATTGTTTTTCCCAGCCTTTGCCTTTATTCCATCGTCCTGTTATGGAATTTAATATTTTCTTTGGCCGTTCAACGTGTTTTTTTTCTGCAACTTTCCGATTCATAATTTAAGCCACATTGAAAAAAAAGCTATATACCATAGACGACATTTGACAGTCCTGTAAAAAATCTCTCCGTCTCACGAACAAATTTGTATCCCTATTAGTTATTATTGTTATTATTATTATTATTATTATTATTATTATTATTATTATTATTATTATTATTATTACATATTATTATCATTATTGTGAATTATTATTGTTATTATTATTATGTGAGCAAATCGCCTGCAGGAGGCTTACAGAACATTACCTGAATTATTACCTAAAAGTAATTTGGGTGAAGTAAGTGGTACTTAAGTCACAGCAGGCCGCTGAACTGTAACTTCCTCGCTGCCCACTCCCTACCACTCTCACAAAAAGCTAGACCTGACATTAAATTATTAATTATAATATTAAAGTTGTGGACTGTATATAATTAGACTTGCTGGATACACAAATATAATTGGTATTAACATTTACCATTTAATTACTGTAGATGAATTACACCACAATACCTGCCGAACACCCAGACCTTACACTGGCCAGTTAGAGCTCTAAATGCAAGGACTAATGGTGCAATTCCCTGTGAGTGATGTTCTCATCCCTTATTTTCCGCTATCCACAAGTAATTCTTGAGGTCTCGCAAATTTCCTGTCCCAACTCTTCAGTAGGGGACATTAACATGGGTTTCTAATTACAAATTCAGGCCAAAAAAAAAATTAACCTTCGAGAACGCCCAACCACATTGCACAACTCAGTCCAGTGCTCACACATTAAGTTCAGTATGGCATTCCCTTCCCGGCATCACTCAGCAGCTGTTCTACACTCCCCCTCACTCGAAATTTCTCGAAAGGGTCAAATCAGCATCATATTTTATTACACAATTATATTATTCATTCAAATGTTCTACATTTAGGAAATTATATAAAAAAATTCCAAAATCATTATTAATTTTACTCTAATTGTTGTTAATATTAATATTTACATTGGTACTGGTTCCATAATAATAATAATAATAATAATAATAATAATAATAATAATAATAATAATAATAATAATAATAATAATAGTAATAATAATAATAATAATAATAATAATAATAATAATAATTAATATGTATAAACAGAGGATCGTTTAGGCTTGATGAGGCTCATCCTACCGGTTACCCCACACATATAACCCCCACGTATACCCCCACGTATACCCCTACGTATACCCCCACGTATACCCCTACGTATATCCCCCAGTGATATCCCCACGGATTACCCCACGTATACCCCCACGATACCCCCCACTGATATTCCCATGGATACCCCCACGGATACCCCCTGATACCCCCACGTATACCCCTACGTATATCCCCCAGTGATATCCCCACGGATTACCCCACGTATACCCCCACGATACCCCCCGCTGATATTCCCATGGATACCCCCACGTATAACCCCCACGGATACCCCCTGATACCCCCACGGATACCCCTACGTATACCCCCCGCGGATAGCCGTACTGAAACAAGAACCTGGGTTGTACCCAGGGTAAAATGCTGGCTCCCAATTCACTTGACAGGCGTGAAGGGCATGTATAATTAATCTTTAACCTGAATCCCGGGCGATGGTATTGTGCAAGATGAGATTTGTGGAATTACGTAAGATGTGAATTGTGGAATTGTATAAGATGAGAACTGGGGAATTGTGTAAGATAGATAATTGTAGAATTGTGCAAGATAAAAATCGTGGCAACGAATTCGACGGATTTAAACAAAAATCCTATTTTTGGATAACTATATACAAATAATATACTATAACTATCAGGTATTGAGTATAATTAATTACAGATGGTTGGAAGACGAGGTTTAAAGTCTATTGATTATACATAAGTCATTTAGGGTGTCCCGTAGCTAGATCGCTAGTGCACTCAGCTCACACACTGAGGTCCAGAGTTCGAATCTCCTCCGGTACGGCTGGAAAACATTAGGGACTTGTTTCCATAAGACACCTGCTGTCCCTGTTCACCCATCAGTATAAAATGGGTACCTGGGTGTTAGTGGACTGGTGTGGGTCGCATCCTGGGACAAAACTGACCGCATAACAAGCCGCATAACAAGCGGCTTTCTATATAGTAGTATGTCATTGATGTCAGCTAGGACTGTATACCTTGGTCATGTACTTACAGTAAATAAATATATTATTATATTTATTATTGTGGAAAATTGCATTTATCTGAATGTATAATTATGTACATAACAGTAAATGAACAATGATAACTATTATTTATCAGTTAGACAAGTAGGAATTTGGGACACTTAGGTCGCAAAAAAATGTCCCCCTTCGATACCTACCACTGTCATATCCACAAGTTGCTCTGAACCTATTAATTATAAATGAAATATACATCACCAGGAATGCTGGTAAATATATAAATTTGTGGACTGTATATTAAAAATAATAAATGATTATATATACACATATACATAACAGAAGGAGAATATCTTAAAAATCACTCACCAATTTAACTGGAGATTAATGTGTCATGTACAGGACCCCCCCCTTTTGTCTACATTTATGAAAATTTTACTGGCCAGAAATTAAACATAAATTAGACAGCTTATCTGAGGTTCCTGGAGTTGTCCTGTCCTGTCGCGTGATATCTCAAGTTATGCAGGAATGCACATCCAACAATTTCGCCTCCTATTTGAGAGGTGTCAGCCCAATTTTAACCTCTAGAGCACGAAAATTCCTTCCCATTACACTAACGTTGTATCCAATTCAAAAACCAAAATGGCGACCGTCCTTCTGCCCAGATGCAGGCTTTCCGTTTTCTATGACATAAATATTATTAAATACAGTATGGCCATCTATTTACATATAACTACTGTATTTCTGGAAAATATATACAGTATTTTCCACAATTATTATGTCACCTGGTCACCACCAGTCAACAAAAAGGGTTCTTTCCCCGACATCAGAGTGCAGGGCTCGATACGGTGTAAAGTGTCAGTGGTCCTATAAACCACAACAAGGAAGAGTTACCATGGCAACACGGTACATCACAACCCTTCAACCCAACAACAACAACTAAATTAGTAACTGTGACTCTGCTTATTACTCGTGACTTATACAACAAAAGTATATATACATCGTATCAGTGGCCTAATATAAGCAAGAACTAATAACGTATAACAGTAATTTATATCAAGGTTCGTAGTTTACTTTTCTTGGGTTATCTTAGGTAACCTACACATGTGCTGCTATGTATAATAACTTGTGTAACTGTAGTTATGTGTACCTATACCTGAATAAACTTATTAACATTATCGGGTAAATAAAAAACTATATTTGAAATAGTAATCCATGAAGTCTAATAACCCAGGATAACCTAATAACTTTAAGCTGTGTGGCTTATTTCTGTTAAAGTCTTGCTTTTAATCCACCAAGATAAGATAAGATTTCGTTCGGATTTTTAACCCCGGAGGGTTAGCCACCCAGGATAACCCAAGAAAGTCAGTGCGTCATCGAGGACTGTCTAACTTATTTCCATTGGGGTCCTTAATCTTTTCCCCCAGGATGCGACCCACACCAGTCGACTAACACCCAGGTACCTATTTGCTGCTAGGTGAACAGGACAACAGGTGTAAGGAAACGTGTCGAATGTTTCCACCCGCCGGGAATCGAACCCGGGCCCTCCGTGTGTGAAGCGGGAGCTTTAGCCACCAGGCCACCAGGGCACTACACTGAAATAACTTCTTGATACCTACTTACAGTGCTGTATGACCCTTAGGGTTTAACACTTGGTTATGATAATTATTGGTACCTACTTACTGCTAGGTAACAGGATCTTGATAGGTTCTACCTATTAAGACGCTGTTACCTTGCATCCCGTCTCACCTGGTTCAACCCAGCTACCCTTTAATCTCGTGGCTCATTTCGTAGCACGTTCTCACAATTGAAGTGCCTGGGTCCTAAACAAGCATGAGGGGAAGTTTTTAGCATGTTTCCTTACACCTGTTCGCCTAGCAGTGAGTTGGTACCTGGGTGTTAGCAGACTGTAGTGGGTCGCATCCTGGGGAAGCAGATCAGAGGAACTCCAGTGGAATTATATAAGCCAGTCATAGTAGCTTCCTCAGGCAAGCCTGAGTTGCCAATGCTACTCGTTGATATTTGGAATAAAAGCTTCAACTTACATAGTTTTGGACTTGCTTAATAAGTTACATTGCTTGATTTTATTGGGTCATCCTAGATAAAGTTTATATAATGTAATTCAGTTCATGTATGAGCTAGTGCCAGGTGTGCCATCTCATAACTAAAGAAATATAGCTCATGTATGCTCGGTATTGGTTGTTTAAATAAAAGCTTACTTATTTTCTTTAGGTATATGAATACCAACAATATAAGGGAATAATATAATGTAATAATATCTTTATTTACTACAAGTACATATACAACGTATACAGACCTAGTTGACATCAATGACATACTACTAGTATATAGAAAGCCGCTTGTTATGCTGAGCATTTCGGGCAAATCAAATCAGTTTTTTCCCAGGATGTGACCCACACTGGTCGACTAACACCCAGGTACCCATTTTATACTGATTGGCAAACATGGACAGCAGGTGTCTTATGGAAACACGTCCCTAGTGTTTTCCAGCCATACCGGAGGAGATTTGAACTCGAGACCACAGTGTGTGAGCTGAGTGTGCTAGCAGTCAAGCTACAGGACACCTAATGATGTATATTCAACACTTAAAGTGTTTTCTAATGATATACATAATAAAAAGTCCTGTGTTCCCAATGTCCTTATTCCCACAGTTTTGGTCTTACTTAAAGAGCTTTGTAACACAGGCTCTGTAAAAAAATTATATTCTACTTTACCTTATGCCAAGTACAGGCAGGCTGTGCCTTACAGCTCTTCACTTTAGAGCATTTTGCTAATACTGTCCAATGGTTTTCAGTTATACCCATTCTTCATTCATTCAGACTTCCTACAATAAATGTATTCACCACTCATTATAAGCTAAGTACTGTACAAAAATATTTTAAGGTAAGTAATGTGTGTACTGTACATGCATTTTTTAGGCCTAGATATATTGCTCACTTAATATATGATAATATATACATGTTTTCAGGCTTATACATGCATTTGAAAGTGAAAAAAGGCAATGATTTGCTTTACAGTGATTTTTACTTTACAGCATTATCCCGGAACCTAACCTGCTGTGTAAGCAGGGCCCTCCTGTATTGATTTTTTTCCAGCATCACAGTCACTAAAGGCATTTTATCAAATTTATGTTATAATATGAATATTATGATTTATGTTAATATTTTCATTATCAATGCATGAATAATTTCCTCATGTTAACAGATTGGTGTACTAACTTCTAATGTACCAGTAATACTACATTTACTTAGTCATGTACGATGTTCAACACTCAGTTTTACCTGAATGTTAAAGTTAATTTTTCATGTGCTGGCCATACAAAACTCATGTTAAAATGAGTTGTTTTCTGACTTAACTAACATTTCATAATTTTTGAACTTCCTAAAAGATTCATATTTAACCCTTAAATTGTCCAAACGTAGATCTACGTTCACTTGCGTAGTGTTCCGAACGTGAATCTACTTTTTTTTTGCATTTGAAAGCATGTAAAATAAAATGTAGATCTACGTTCAGAGCACTATGCAAGTGAGTGTAGATCTTTGTTTGGACAGTTTAAGGATTTTGAAAAAAAAAAAAATGAGATGAAAAAAAAGGTTAAAAATTGAGTTACTTTCTTTGATTTTCATTTTTATCCAGTTGAACTTTAAAGGCAGCCCTTCCTAAAATAGTCTACTGGCATGGGTGGAAACATTGGGCATGTTTCATGACAACTGCTGTCCCAGTTCACCTAGCAGTAAGTAGGTACCTGGGTGTTAGTCAGTGGGTGTGGGTCACATCCTGGGAGACAAGATTAAAGGATCAACTGACTTTACTGGGTTATTATGGGTGGATAACCCTCTGGGTTAAAAATCCAAACACATCTTATCTTATCATTGGATGTGGCCCACAACAGTTGGTTAACACCCAGGTATCTGTTATACTACTAGCTGGACAGGGGCAACAAGTGTAAGGAGAGACTCCCATACACAGACTGCCAAGGTTTGATCCTAGATTCTTCAGTTGTGAACTTAAGGTGCTACCACTGAACCATGACCCACCAATATTACAAATTTTTTAACCAGCATACTATGACTTTAATGATAAACACTGCTTAGAAAAAAACTTTTGATAAACTGCTTAGTGTAATACCTTTGACAAGCCAATAATGACTTATATCATTAAAAGATTTATTTACTAATTTATTTATTTTTTCTTAACCATGTGCTTCTAGCCTAAAGCAACTAGAATTTTTCTCTTGGAGGAAGGACTACCCACAGAGGATAACTGAAGAAGTTAATAAAGTGATACCTAAGAAGAAACTTGACCTAACTATTACTTATATTATATACATATGTATACAAATAATAATAATAATAATAATATGAAATATTATTCCCATGTTATTAATTACAGTACAGTTATTCTGTATTATTAATAATTACAGTACTACAGATTTGTTACTCCTTTATCAGTTATTTTTGTTTTGTCATATTCTTGTTTAAAGGTTACGTTGCTGGAAGATGCTGTTATGTGTTGGTCCAGAAGGTACAGGCAAAACTCTTCTCCTGAGAAGACTTGCAAACTTAACTAAGCCTGATATTTCCCTGACAACTGTTCCAACTGTGGGATTAAACATTGCTACTATTCAGCAAGAACCAGAAATGCCACCAATCAACATACGTGAACTTGGTAAACTCTGTACTGCTTTCTGTAGTGTGTGCTTTGCTGGGAATATTGGAGACAGTTCATGTGGGGTGCCTTGATGCTGATAAAGGGCTCTTCATCCAAGGAATTGAAGCTACCCTCCCCTTCATCAGATCAAACCTGATTATTGTGCTTCCTATGTCTCAGATGCTGCATGATCCCTTATAGTCTTTCCATTTTCATATCATGCTATTAACAATAATGTGAAAATTGTAGAGGATATGAACATGAATTACTGTACTGCATTAAAATACATGTTAGTATAATAATAAAATTCCTTAGAGAAGTTGAAGTGCATTAGATTTAGCAGCTTACCTGCTGTATGTAGGTTGTATTACTGGAAAAGTATTCATTGCTAAACAGGCAGGCCCCACTTTACAGTGTGTCAACATGTTGTCAAGCTTTTATAAACACACATAAAAAATATATATATATATATATATATATATATATATATATATATATAATAATAATACTATAACATATACATTTGCATATCAAAACAACCACTGTGAAAGAATAGAGAAATTCCAAGCGCTTTCGTGACTACTCACATTATCAAGGAACAATGAAAGTAATGCATCAAAGGAAGGCATATAAAGGGTCTAGCCCACACCTCACTATCACATCCCACAACAAAGCAACACCTGATGCACTACTCATAAGAAAGGGAACACTGCAGCAGGCCCGCTGGCCCAACTAGACACGTCCTTTACACAACCCACCAACAAACTATTCTACCCAAGAATTAAGCATTTTAAAAATTTATAATTTGTCCAATGTATTATTAAATTTTTCCCAAATTTTTTAAATTTAAAAAGGGATCTAATTTATTAAACCAAAAGGGAAATTTTCATATTATTGCAAAACTCTTTTAAAAACAAGTTTCAATTATATTCCTGTCGACCATGGACTTGCTTGATCAACTTTCTAAACTTTTTAAAAAATCTTTTGGTGGTTAAAATCTCTCACATGAATAAACGAGCAGGGAATCTTGCCCAGTTCAAAATGCTAATTTATTTTTTTTAATTAGTTCGAGTTTTTTCCCAGTTTTGACCGAATAAACTTACGAAAATTTTTAAAAGGAATTTATAAACACATCCGTCAGTTTGAAATAATATGAATTTTCCCTTGGTTTATATAATTAATCCTTTTAAAATTAAATAAATTTGGGGGAAGTTTTTAATGAACATTGGACAAATAAAAAATTTTTTTAAAATGCTTAATTCTTGGGTAGATTTGGGGGGTTTGGTAAAGGGGCCCTGCTATTTGGGCCCCAGGGGGCCTGCTGCCCGTTTTCCCCTTTCTTGAGTAGTGGTCAGGTGTTGCTTTTTTTTGGGATGTGTTTATGAGGTTTTTTGTGGGTGACCCTTTTTCCTTCCTTTAGTTTTTTCATTTTCCCTGAAAATTGGGGATGTACAAAGCATTAATTTTATTTTTTGGGTTTTTTTTTTAAATCACCTGTTTTACGGCATTGCAAAAAAAAAATTTTTTTTTTTTTTTTTTATTTCACACGGGCTTCCCAAAGGGGGTTTTTCCCAAAAAGAAAAAACTTTCCCCTTCATCCCCATGTCTTCCAAAGGGTGCTTTACCTCTTTTTAAAAACTGCACATTAACACCCCCCTTCAGATACCTTTTCCCATCCCCCCAGGCTAAAAGTCCGGCTTTTTCCCAACCTTTTTCAAAAATTTCTTTCCCCTCCCCTCAAGTTTAAAAACCAGTTCCTTCACTCCTATCAAACACGTCCTAAAACCTCTAAGTCCAAGCCCCCCCAAAAACCCCTTTCCCCCCTCTAAACCCTTTTGGGCCCCCCCACCTTTCCTTAACTCAACATAACTCGAAGTCTCTGTTTTTCCACCCCATGCCCAACATAACAACCCTTCCTCAGCCCTCTGGCAACTTTTGAAATCCCCACCTCCCCTTAACTTAAAAACTAAATTTCTCATTTTCCCCCAACATTTTGCCCAAGACCCATCTCCACTGCCCCGCCCCCCTTTGCGAACATTCCATCAACCTTTCCCACCCCTTGGCTTGGTAAAATTTTATAATTTTTTGCCCCCAAGGAAAAGTTTTTTGTTCCCCCGACCCGTGCCCCTTCCTCTTTTTCCCTCAAAAATTTTTTCACCTAATTTTTCATAACCCTTCCCTCACCCCCAAACCCCCTTCTTTTCTTCACCCCTCCCTCTCTCCCTCCAATTGTATTAATTTTCATCAACCAAACTTTTTGGGAACCAAAACCCTTATCTTTCCCTTTTTCCACCAATTTCTTCTTTTGCCAAAAAAATTTTATCCACCAATCTTGAACTTCTTTTCAGAATCCCAGAAAACGTGCAAAACAAGGACATGGAAAAATAGTGGGATTTTTATTTTTAAATACCCCCTTTGTAAAGACTGATTTATTTCTCTTAAACCCATTATAAAAATTAAACAACCAAAGGTGACTAACTCTTGTTAAAGGCCTCTTTTCTGAAAAAATTTCTTTCTAATATTAACTTGGTCATTGTAAACTTTATGCTTTAGTAACTACCCCTTACACCAACACTTGAAACATCTGCCACATGCAACTTTTCCACCTGTATGCCTTCCAAAATCCATAAATGCCACAAGACCCTTTAGCTTTTAAATACTGTTCATTATAGTTTCACATGAACACTGTCACACACCCTACTTTAGAGCCTCCTATAGCATCCTATTCTCCGTCTTATTAATCTTTAAAATAATTAACATACCTTTACAGGTATAATCAGAAATTATCCCTATATTTTGCACTCTCTTTTATCCCCTTGCCTTTATACAAGGAAATATGCTTTGCTCTCGCATCCCTAGTCCCTTTCCCTTCAACATTTTAATATTTTATTATAAATTTAAATATATTATTTATATAATAAATTATATTATTATATAATATATATATATTTTATATATATATTTAATATGAAATATAAATTATATGGTATATAATATATAATGTATATAAATTTTAATAGAATTATATATATATATATATAAATAGTATAATATATAAATGCTAGGGTGTTTGGGAGAGGGGTGGGATTAAATTAGGGGGAATCTTTCAAATGGAATTGACACATTACTTTTTGCTGATGATACTGTGTTTAAATGGGAGTTCTAAAGAAAAATGCAAAGGTTAGGATGAGTTTGGAGTGTGTGTAAAGGTAGAAAGTTGAAGTAACAAGAAAAGAGTAAGGTGATGAGGGTGTCAATGATTAGATAAAGAAAAATTGGATTCAAATTGGGAGAGGAGTATGGAAAAAGTAATGTTCAGACATTGGATTGATGTGGCGAGGATTTATGAAGATGAGGTTAATCATAAATTGATGAGGGAAAAAAGGTGAGTGGTGCGTTGAGGTAAAAGTGAGTCAAAAAATGTTATCTATGGAGCCAAAAAAGGGGAATGATGAAAGTATAGTATACCAACACTCTTATATGGGTGTGAAGCTTTGGTGGTAATGCGCACAGGAAAAGGGTTTAGGCATTTGGAGATGTCCTGTTTAAGGCAATGTGTGGTGTAAATATTATGCAAAAAAATTCGAGTGTGGAATTGGGGAAAAGGGTGGGGAGTTAAAAAAAGATTAGTCAGAGGCAGAAGGGTTTTGAGGGGTTTGGTCATTAGAGAGAATGGATCAAGTAGATGACATGGAAAGCAATAAATCTATAGGGGAAGGAAGGCGGGTAGGGTCGCCCTCGAAAGGGTTGGAAAGGGAAAAGGAGGTTTGTGGTAAGGGCTTGACTTCCACAAGCTGGTACGTTAGATAGGAGTGAAATGGAGACAATTTACTTGGGACCTGACGTCTGTTGGGTGTGAGCAGGGTAATTTTTTTAGGAAGGGATCAGGAAAGTTTATTTTCATATAGTGACTTGAGTCCGGGAAATGGAATACATGCCTGCACTTTAAAGGGGGTTTTGGGATATTGGCAGTTTGGAGGAGATTGTTTTGATCTTTATATGTGTATCTTCTAGATGTTGTTTTTTCTGAGCACCTTGCAAAAACAGTGATAATGTGCGAGTGGGGTGAAAGTGTGAATGATGATGAAGTTTTTTCCCTTTTGGGATTTTTCTTTCTTTTTTTGGTCACCTGCCTGGTGGGAGACGGCCGACTTGTTGAAAAAAAAAAAAAAAAAAAAAAAAAATTTAATTAAAAATATATATATATATATATATATATATTAAAATATATATATTTTTATGAATATATAATTATATATGTATGTATATATATAAAATTATACATACATGGCCCCCCCCCGGGTTTAACGATATTTTTTCACTCCAAAAGAAATGTTAGGTGCCAGTACTGATCGAATTTTGTTCCATAAGAATATTGTGAAGTAGATAGTCCATTTCAGACCCCAAACATACACTACAAACACACTAAATAAATAACTTACAAAAAGGTCGCATTCGAGGTGATCGTTAGCGGGGTCCATGAATACACACACACAGAGTGGACCCTGGATATTGACCGGTGCAATATCTGCCAAATCGGATTTCGGCCGCTTTTTTGGCCGAAATTCTGTCCTGGATTTTGGCTGGCAACTCAGAAATCAGCTGTATTGGACGCGTCCACCCACCACTCCGCCGCGTTCGTGAGTCAGTCTGGCTGTATCTCTGGGTGAGTGAGCAACACTCCGTACATTCATCCAAACATTTCGTTATAATCCATTGTTTTTTGTGGTTGTTTATTGAGTACAACTGTAAAATAAGCCACCATGGGCCCAAAGAAAGTTCCTAGTGCCAGCACTTTGGTAAAGAAAGTGAGAAACATGATAGAATTTAGTGATAAAACCTTGTCCCACTTCAGGCAAATCTTAGAGACACCAGAAACAGACCTCTCTGGACAGTTTTTTTGTGCAACAGGGAGTGCAGTGACTCTCAAGCTGTTCCTTGTGCCAGTAAAAGACAAAGAAGGGAAATAACCCCAGATAGGGACTTGATACCTGAAGCCCTTATGGAGGGGGATTTCCCTTCCAAACAATAACCGCAGCTCCCTCTCCCCTCCTCACCTTCTTCAATACGCCAACAAGAGTCTTCACTAAAGGTATGTAATGTTTGTTCATTTGTCATTAAAATTTGTGCTTTATATTTATTTCTCATTGTTTTCTATATGTAAAACTATAGTTAATCTTTAAAAATGTATTTTTTGTTAATATTTTTGGGTATCTGGAACAGATTAATTGTATTACATTAGTTCTTATGGGAAATATTACTTTGGTTTTCGGCCTTTTCGGATTTAGGCCAACCTTCTAGAATGGATTACAGCTGAAATCAGGGTTCCACTGTATTTATGTCATGCCGATGGGTAAAACTTGCATTTTGGCTTAACTAGCAATCTCTTTTTCCAAATAAGGAAGCTAAAATTTCTGTACACATTTAATTTTGCAGAATCATTCTGAACCCAATGGAAAAAATATATTTCGTTGTGTTTGCTTATAATTAAATTTTGTAAATTTAATCTAAAAATATTTATTGGAATGGCTAAATTAAATTCACTTGTTATAAAATTTGATAATTTCAAAGGTCTTTTGGTACAAATTTATTATTTTTCATCACATAAAGAAAGAAATATATCTTAAAACTTTAAAGAAAATTTAGAAATGCGAAAATTGAAAATGATAACAGTGACCCCGCTTAAAGATTACCTCCGAAGCGACCATTAGTAAGTTTTTTGAAGGGTTTGGGTACATGTATTTGGGGTTTAAATGGATAATACTTAAAAAAACCTTAGGGACAAATTGGGTAGTACTGATAAAATTTAAAATTGGAGTGAAAATTTGTTAAAGGGGTATATTAAGCAAAATGTCTATACATGTATTAATGTATTATATGACGTTTAATGCACCTCAGAGTGATTATTATTGTGTATTATTATTATCATCATCATTAATATGGCATCTTCAAGACTAATAAGACACTCTTAGTGATTTTAATGTGTACCTGCATGCCAGCACAGTGTGTAAGTTTATTTAGGTACAGTTACGCATAAGTATAATTATCAGAGTACGTATTCATATGTAAAATATGAAATAGCTTTAAAACACTTAAAATTTTGGAAAGTTTCCAAACATAATGAAGTGTCAAGCTCACGGAGAATGTAAACAAACTGGGTGGGGCATGGTGACCATATTAGAAAGACGGGGAGCCGTATAGCGAGTTTTGGTCGTAATTTGAAATGTCCATATTAGCAGAATGCCGTAAAGCAAAATAAAGTAAAGCAGGGCCCTACTGTATATGTACGTACATATATATATATTATATCCATGGGAAGTGGAACAGAATTCTTCCTCTGTAAGCCATGCATGTCGTAAGAGGTGGCTAAAATGCTGGGAACAGGGAGCTGGTAACCCCTTCTCCTGTATACATTACTAAAGTTAAAAAGAGAAACTTTTGTTTTTCTTTTTGGGCAACACTGCCTTGGTGGGATATGGCCGGTTTGTTGAGAGAAGATATTTGTTTGTTCACACATGTTAAAGGAATTGGACCTGCCCTCTCCTTCCTTGGATCAAACCTGAATGCTTCCCATTCCCCCAAGTGCTATGTGGTTTAGTGCTCCCTTGTAATTGTAATAATAATAAAAATTGTTTATACAGTAATACATTGGATCCCCCCTATCCACAGGTTCAGTTTCCATGGTTTACTGTGGCCAAAAAATAACCCTTAATTTTGCTTAACCCGTAAACAGTCCAAACGTATATATACAGTTTTTTTTCAACATTTGAAAGTGTGTAAAAAAAGTAGATCTTTTTGTTTTTTTACATTTGAAAATGTGTAAAAAAAACTTTGATCTACTTTTTTTTGTTACATTTGAAAATATGTAAAAAAAACGTAGATCTACTTTTCTAGCACTACACATGTGAACGTAGATCTGCTTGGACCGTTTACGGGTTAATAATGACCCCAAAACACAAAGGTAGTGATGTTGACAATTCTTCTATGCCTAAGAGAAGCCGTGAAGTGCTTCCCATCAGTGAAACAGTGATAATTTTTGACTTATTGTACGCAATTTATCAATTAAACTTTATCGTAGGTATGTATGTAAACAAAAAAAACTTATTCATAGGGTTTGTTGCTATTCACGGTTTTGGGTATCCACAGTAGGTCTTGGAGCATATCACCCACAGATATGGGGGGACTACTGTACCTATATTTAAATAACTTCAGACTTGGATAAGTGGGCATCATTCATTAATCCAAACAGTGTTCAAATGAATGAAGGGCCTTTGAATAATCATATGAAATAGCAAGATGTCAGTTGATTTTGTTTCAAAGAATGTCAGATAATTGTACATACACTGTATGTGTACATGTTTATGTTATATGTTGTCTTAAAAGCATTTTTTTCTGGCACTGCTTCTTGCAGGGGGAAGTATGTCTCCAATTTGGCCCAGTTACTATAACGGTGTGAGGAAGATAATGTATGTGGTTGATGCAGTCAATTTAACGCAGCTGGGTGAAGCTACACTACTGCTGATGGATCTCTTAGCTCACCCAAAACTGAGGACAGCACAGGTATGATTTTCTTTGTATTTTAAGGAGTTGAAGTTGAAATATATTAATTCTGATTGATGAAGTTCAAATTTTCTTCACTGGGAATTGTGTGCTAAAAGAGTTAATGAACATAAAAGTTAAAATAAAATTTAAATATGTATGACTTTTGGGTAGTCAAAGATTTGACAAACAAAAATTTTGCTTTGAGGAAATCATGTTCAGTCGCACTTTGTGCTGAAAATTGGTTGGTTTCTTAGAATGTCAACTGTTCCTTTTGAAGAAAGCATAATGCATGTTACTTATTCTACATCCTCATTTGCACAGAAGATTTGCTTCACATATTGTATTTGCTATGTTGACTAGAATTTGTTTTTGAACAGCTTGCAATTTTTGCTTTGTTTCACTTTCATAGCCCAGTATCACTGGTACCAAGTATGGTATTTCCTTATTGTTTCTCTTTAATATACCTGTTATACATTCTTCATCCTTTTCTCTACCTTTCAGTGTATTTAATCTGAGTCAGGCCTTCGGTGATACTTAAAATTGCAGACAGAATGAAACACTTCAGTCATGGAAGCTTTATGATGTGATGGGCTAAGATAACTGAAACCCATAATTGAAAATATTCTGGCTAAATTTGCCATTATATGATGAAAGGAACTTCAAAAAGTGAGAGGCATTAACAATTTACTCATAGAAAATATGCAGACAACAGGATTTTCTCGGCCGGTGGTGGTGAAAGAGTGGCCCGTTCGTCATTGCTTTGTCTCTCTTCCCCGCCACTGGGCAAGCATGACCCTCCCTGCCCCAACACCTACATTTTGCTTGGAAACCTCAAAGGGACAGTCTCTTATGCTCTCATGGGCAGGAAATATTCATAATCCAAGCTCAGAGAGGGAGAACACTATATTAGTTGGCAGAGAAGTATTGAAAGATTGCAAAATAAGTGATGGTGAAGTCGGTGTGTTAACTCAAGTTCAGGTACCACCTCCCTGTTCAACGATTACAGTTATGGTTGGGTCACTAGCACAGTGGCAGGACATGGCACTCAATGCAGAAGTTGCCCAGTCTGCAATCTTAAGTCAGGTACGGGTAATAGGTATAGGGCAATGCATTCCTCTATGGTTGGAAGGTGGAGTATGTGTCTACCTCACTGTTACCAGTCTTGAACCTTCTCTCAAATATGCTATTCTCCAACCCATGACCCAAGTAGAAGTTCTCCCACCCATGGATACTGAAAGATCTCAAGAATATACTGCAATTAACTTTGTACCAACAAGTACAGAATCTTTGGATGAAAGTGATGATTTTACTAGTAATCAGGAAAAGGTGCATTCTAGTAACTCCTCTGAAGTTTCTGATGTTTCATCTGGAGGTGATGAGGAAATCCAAGGACAAAATAGTTTTGAAAAAAGTATGTTTACAATGATACTGAACTATATGCAGAGAAAACTTAATGAACAAAAAGCAGTGTGTGACTTGCCAGTAAAGAGAGAGATACGATTAGGCTACAGGGTGGTTCCTGTTCCAGAAGAACTAAACTCTGTGTTCACTGATGGCCTCCTTGATCACCCATCACTAATCATCATCAGTAGAGAAAGTCTGTTGTATACTTATTACAAAGATGAAGTTAGTTTTATTTGTTGCATGAGAACAATTAATTCCTTGAAAGAAAATTCTGAAGTTTCAATTTCCTCTAGAGAAGAAAATAAATCAAATGAATTACAGAAACAAAAAAGCAAATCAAGTGGTGAGGCACTTGCTTCATGTCTGTGTATAGCTATTGTGTGGGAAAATTTTATTCAGGGAAGAAATAAAAGTGTTGACTTTACAAGTAAAATAAGTGCTCTCTTGAAAGCAAACAATTGTGTGATTCCTAATTGTTTAAGACGGATTATGAGACTTGGCACCCTGAGTGTTGTTGAACTACAGACATCAGATATTATTGTCAAGAATATACCAGTGTCTGTCGACATACTGCCTCTCACACCAGTAGGTGATTCTAAAACATTGTTACTCTGTGAAAATGTTAAGATGCTGTTGAAAAATTTAGCTGATGAATATACAGTGATTATTAATCAGAATACATTGATAGAAATTAATTTAGATGGTAAAATGGTTGATGTGTTTATTACAACAAGGGATGGCATTCCTTTGAAACTTGATAATAAATCAGTACCATTGTTGGTAGTAACACTGTTGAAGCAGTATTCCAGTCTTCCATACATTCACAGTACAGTTAATAGCCTTAATAGAAGTTTCCATGCAAAACTTTCCTATGTTGGAGATGAAAGAATCTTCTTAAATTTAAAGCAGCATATCTTGCTTGGACAAGGCTACAGAGGTGATTCATATAATATTGGTCCTCAGTTTGTACTTCTGCAGGGTAGTAAAGGTTCAGGGAAAACTAGCTTAGTTGAATCACTTCTTGAGTGTCTTTCGGCTTATCCCTACTATATGCATTCTGATATTGTCAGTTTTAAGAAACTGAAAGGAAAGAAAATGGAAACAGTAGAAAAAAAGCTGCAACTTGTCTTCAAAGAAGCTATTTTTAAAAGACCTTCAATTATTGTGTTAGATGATGTTGATTATTTAGTACCATCACAGGCATCTATAAGTGAAGATTCTGGACCAGTGTATGAACACACAGTGCAGATGGTCAGTATGATCACAGGCCTTTTAGATCAACTTATAAACTTTTTAACGGATCTTGACTTTCCATTACACTTGGAGAACTCAAAAACAGGCTCTGTAATGGTTATTGCAACATGCATAACCAGGACAAGTGTTCATCCTCTTCTGGTGAGCCCTCAAGGGTGTCACTATTTTCCTTGCACTTTTGGAATTACTCCCTTAGAACCAGAGGGCAGGCTTAAAGCACTGAATGTTATGCTTAAAGCTCACTTGAAAAAGTATAAATGCTGTTACAAGAGTTGTCTGCTAGAGGCTGATAAAACCTGTAAACTTGACAAGGATTCATTGTCCCGGTGCATACTGATAGATACCAAAGTGATTACCAGACAGACAGAAAGTTTTGCCCTTCCAGATTTAAGCCACCTTGCTCTAAGAACCTTTTTACAAGCAAAGTATCGGTGGGAATGCAGAACAAGAGGAAGATTTTCCAATATGAAAAGCCAGTCAGATTTTCCTAACCAAATACATAGGGTACCTCTTTCCCATGGAACCATCAGCTTGAGTGAAGACAGTGTTGAGACTCCAGACACAACCTCTGATGTCATCCTGAACTGTGATGTTGAAGCTGCCTTCCAAGGATACATACCTCTGGCTCTTCGAGGTGAGTTTTATGACTTTTAGTACTTTTTTTTTTTTTTTTTAACAAGTCGGCCATCTCCCACTGAAGCAGGGTGACCCAAAAAAAGAAAGAAAATCCCCAAAAAGAAAATACTTTCATCATCATTCAACACTTTCACCTCACTCACACATAATCACCAATTTTGCAGAGGTGCTCAGAATACAACAGTTTAGAAGCATATACATATAAAGATACACAACATACCCCTCCAAACTGCCAATATCCCAAACCCCTCCTTTAACCCCTTAAACTGTCCAAACATAGATCTACGTTTTTTCAACATTTGAAAGTATGTAAAAAACGTAGATCTTCTTTTTGCTTTTTTACATTTGAAAACGTGTAAAAAACTTTGATCTACTTTTTTTTTTTTTATATTTGAATATATGTAAAAAAACATAGATCTACTTTTGGAGCACTACACATGCGAACATAGATCTGTTTGGACAGTTTAAGGGTTAAAGTGCAGGCATTATACTTCCCATTTCCAGGACTCAAGTCCGGCTATATAAAAATAACCAGTATAGCTATTAAATTGTGGGCTTAGCAAATGTTGACATAGACTTGCAACAATCAAATTCAATTGCTGCACATTCTTTCATATTGGGTTATTGTGCTAAATGTATGTACATAAAAGTGCAGGATGTCCACAATCCTTTTCCAATTTTTAAAAGTTATTCACATAATATAGAAAAAGATATTAAAAATCAGTTTTCTGCATACTATAGTGTACGTAATTACCGCAACATGAAAGTTCCCTGGCAGATGGATTAGGTGTGGTGACTCCATCAAATGGCCCCGACACTTTCCCTTATGTCACTCCTCATTTTTCTAGGAGTTATGTTTTCCAGTTCCCAGTAGGTGACATTAAAACATTCTATGCTAGAATAAGTGATGATATCGGATAAGTCACACCAGATATATTGTCACGTACCTGACATGAACTGGAGGTGCACATATTGAGGTTGCATAGACTTAACAACCATGAAGCTATGCAAGAATTTTTGTTAGTTTGGTTGTTATATGCAGTAAAAACTGGGAAAAGAACTTTTATCAGCACAGTGTATAAACACAATACTGTAATTTATTTATGAACCTGAGGTAGCTAAATTCATAGTATAGACAAGGGATGACATTATGTTGTCATCCATTTGTTCATTATGTTTTAAATGTTTTGTATACAGGGTATTCTTATTCATAAGTAAAAGATATTCTTTAATTGTTTTCAAAGCATAATTAATGAATATGACAAACATCATGGCAAATTTGCAGTGTAAATAGAGTTCCTGAATATAATTTGAAAACAGTTATTTCATTACTCACATTACTCATATTATGCCATAAGAAAATGGAGGCAAAGAATTCAGGTGGCAAAAATGTTTGAGGGAATTCACAGTACTGCCCCATCAAGATAGGAATTCCCAGAAGGAAAGTAGAATAAAATTTTTGTTATAGACAAGGCACATAACTTTATATTTCTATCTTTTTTGTCATTATGTTATTGCCTTTCTTGGTTTTAGGAATTACGTAAGGAAAATGACAGGTTTACAGTATAATACAGTAAATTTGTATGCATTAGAGTGGTAGTTTATCATTATCCTTGTTAAAGATCTTTAAAATTGAAAGTTGAAAGACATAAATTTAGATAAATAGCTAGACTGAACTCAAGAAATGTACATGTCTTAGTTTTCCTCTTTTTAAACATGAAGTGTACCTCTTTTAATTTTTTTTTATGTAAAATATGGTAAATCTAATGCACATAATTTAGTCACAGATTGGATAAGATTGACAAGTGATAGACTGATAAGTAGATAATGAATAAGCAGAGCATATGTAGATTTATGTTAAAGTGGATGAACATTTAGGTAGACTAATATATCGGTAATAATGCATATGGTGTTATACCCTGGCAGGTTTGTTGTTATCAGAGAAAAAAACTAATGCAAGCCTACAAGTTGGTGGCCTAGCAGAGGCGAGCAAGACACTTGAAGAAACTCTCACTTGGCCATCAGTATATCCAAACCTTTTTAGTAAGATTAAGTTGAGACTTCGTTCTGGAGTGTTGCTATATGGTCCCCCTGGTTGTGGCAAGACTCTTCTTGCTAATTCTGTCACTGCCAGCTGCCAATTGAATTTAATTTCAGTGAAGGTAAGCTTATTATTGGTTTGATTTGATCATGATAGACAACACTTTACATGTTGTCTATCATGATCTAAAAGAGTCATTTATTCAGTACTTCTCTGCATAGTGTCTGTGAGCTATAAAACTTGAGCAGTACAACTTTCTTCTTGATCATGCAACCTGATGCAGGTAGATTTGAGATGTCATATTTTCTCATGCAGATGAGAGGTTGCAAAAGTTATTGTAAGAGTTTGGAAGTGTCTCCCCTAAAAAAATTGAAGGTAAACAGACAAAAAATAAATGGGACGATACCAATAAGAAATGGAGGCGATGAAAGATTGGATGCTGGTTGGAAAGGAGTGGATGTGTCGCTAGATGGGTCTATGAAAGCTGAGGGGAATTACAGAATAGATGAAAAAAAAAAAAAGCAGGGTTTAAAAATCTGTGAAAAGCAAGAAGTTTGTCAATGGTTGCATAAAGGAGAATGGATCAGAATACAGTACATTGGTTCCAAGGCATGGTCTCTGAACACTGCTGTGAGAACAAAGACTGGAGGCAGTGATGTCATGTCTTGAGATCAGTCCATGGTACTCACCAGTATGTGGTTGCAGGTGTCGAGTCTTTACTCCTGGCCTTGAATAGTGTGAATATTATGCAGAAAAAAAGTATTGAAGGAATTAGAAGAAATATGGTTGCAAAGTACAGTGGACCCCCGGTTAATGATATTTTTTCACTCCAGAAGTATGTTCAGGTGCCAGTACTGACCGAATTTGTTCCCATAAGAAATATTGTGAAGTAGATTAGTCGATTTCAGACCCCCAAACATACACGTACAAACGCACTTACATAAATACACTTACATAATTGGTCGCATTCGGAGGTAATCGTTATGCGGGGGTCCACTGTATTTGAAACAAATAAAATTAAGTGTTAATTGGATTTGTCCAATAATATTAGCCCTTCTTTGCCTCTCATGTATACATCTGTGATATAATACAAGCAGTTTTTTTTTTTTCAACGCACCAGCCATAACCCATCGAGGCAGGGTGACTAAATTTAAAGAGAAAAACTAAAGTTTTTCTTTTTAAATTTAGTAACTTATACAGGAGAAGGGGTTTCTAGCCCCTCGCTCCCAACATTTTAGTCACCTCTTACAGCAAGCATAGCTTACAGAGGAAGAAAAACAGGTGTTATTGATGGCATTTGTATGAAGCTGGTATTATTGGGTTTATTTTTCATTTTTTAACTCAAGTTATATTAGCCTTTATTATCTACTCTTATGTATAAAGCACAGTGATATATGTTATATGGACATTTTGCTAATGAAATTTATATCTCTTGTAGGTGCTCCTAGTATGTTACCCATTGGGAAATAAATTACCATCATGTCTTTTGTGTATATTTATTTTATACATGTATTATTATTTATCTACAAAATTTACATTTATTCTTTTGCAGGGACCAGAGCTTCTCTCAAAATATATTGGTGCTAGTGAAAAGGCTGTCCGAAATGCATTTGAAAGGTAAATAAGCAACTTCCATCCCTATCCCCAGTGTTATTTCTAACTACATTTAACCTCACTGGGTTAAAAACCTAGTTTTATTTTTTACATCATTGAATTTGCAGGGTAACAGCTGATATCCTACATATGTAAGATATTCTACCATCCCTCAGGATGCAGACCACAACAGTGTGCTAGCACGCGGGTACCTATTTACTGTGAAATGAAAAGGTGTAGGAAAATGGGTAAGGATCAAGTGCCCACCACACCTTGTTTTAAATGACCCACTCAGGTTTATTGCTTAATGCAATATAATACAATCCACCCACTTCAGGACTGAAAATAGGTCCATTGGTTGTGAGCCAAAGGCACTGCTACTGATCCCTGAGCTACTACTGTATATTTCTTTAGTCAGGGGTTACCAGTACTTCAATAGAAAGCCATAGAACTTTGCCATAGCTCTTATTTGTCTAAAGCAATTAAGAGTACAGCTTTCTAGTAAAATGTACTCTAAGCCCAAAATAAATAATGTTCAAACATCAAAATTACATAAACAATGTTTACTTAATTTCTTAAAATGTGTTGAAAATAATGCTTTTGTAATAGTTTCACTTAATATTTGATATACTTGTCTCCTTCCCATTTCAGTAGGAATAGTGCAAGTATGATAATAAAAATATTTTTATTTGCTTTTCTGTGGTAGTGAAGATGGTTAGTAATATACAGAATTCATATTATTGTAATGGTAACCATTAATACTACTCAAGCCTGGAAAGTAGTGAGAGAAATTTTTAATGGCTTGATCTGATAAAACCTATACAGCAATAAGAATATTCTACATATATCTTTATGTTTAAAAGCTAATTAAACTGAATGTAGAGCAAGTTTATACAAGACTTTTACAATTCACATAGCTACATGGTGAATTAAATAAATTTACAAAATAATCAATCTACAGTATAAGAAAGTTTCAGAATTAGGACGTTTGTAGGAAGGGTGTGAAGGAGGTTGTAAGTGGTAGGGGCTTGAGCATCCAGAAAACAAATATGAGCATGTTAGATCAGAGTGAAGACAAGTGCTTTTTGGATTTGATGTGCTGTTGGAGTGTGAGCAAGGTTAACCATATGAAGGGATTCAGGAAAGCCAGTTAGTTTGGCAAGGTGGGAAATACAGTGCCTGCACTCAGAAGGGTGGTTGTGGATACTGCAGTTTGGCAGGTCATTTGAATTGTGATGCCTACACACTTCTGGCCAGACAGCTATTTAATGAACAGTGGTAAATGTGTTAACTTTTAAAGTTCATCTACATTTGTAGGAAATGGCTGATGTAAAAAAAAATATACAGAATATACAGTCGACTCTTGCATTTGTTGTGGGTTATGTTCCTGAAAATCAGTCTTATTTGTGAAATCATAATAGTTGGACTGAAGAATATGGGTAAAAGTCAAAAAAAAAAAATTTTTAATTTCTTAATTCATCAGAAATAATAGTTTTTCACACCTTACATTCTATTTGTTTATGGAGAGGGTTGATGTGGCTGTATTAGTATTCTTCTTTCTTTAAATGCACCAGCCGTATCCCACCAAAGCAGGGTGGCCCAAAAAGAAAAACAAAAGTTTCTCTTTTTAACTTTAGTAATGAGGTTTTTTTTTTCCAACAAACTGGCCATATCCCACCAAGGCAGGATGGCCCAAAAAGGAAAACGAAAGTTTTTCTTTATAAATTTAGTAATTTGTACAGGAGAAAGGTTTACTAGCCCCTTGCTCCCGGCATTGTAGTAATGAGGTATATACAGTAATAAAATTTAGTACATGTAGGCCAATTTTTTTTCTTATTTTAAATTCTGGTTACTGGTTCTTGTTGATCTGGAAATGGGTGGATAGGGTTTCTGTGACTATACTTGGCTGAAGTGGATGGCTGTGGTTCTTACATTAATGTGGACAGCAGAGTTGTCAGTAGTTGATGGTTTTTCTGAAACACTCAGGTAATTTGTATTTTGTATGTGCTCTGGTGGACTTTGTTGACTTCCCTTGTCATAAGAGCATTAAGCGCAACACCTTTCATTGTTTTCTGCTCAATCCACATTTTTGGTAACCCTTCTGTCTTATTCACCTGTATTGACCTCTTTGTAATTCTTGGATTAATTCAGATTTAGAAAAGTTATAGGAAAGCATTAGTTTGGCAATAAAGTTATCAGTGATTAGAGGAGCACTGCAGTATGCCTGTGGACCTATACTAAGCAGGTCTTCAGACTAACCTCTCTCACTCCTATATCTGTCAAACCTATTTTGAAAGCTACCCAAGGTTAAATAACAAAAAAGGCACAATACCATGACTGGAACAATACACAAATAACCCGCACATAAAAGAGAGAAGCTTACGACGACGTTTCGGTCCGACTTGGACCATTTACAAAGTCACACTAACCAGAAGTGGGGCAGGACGGCTATATATAGGCCTATATATAGCCGTCCTGCCCCACTTCTGGTTAGTGTGACTTTGTAAATGGTCCAAGTCGGACCGAAACGTCGTCGTAAGCTTCTCTCTTTTATGTGCGGGTTATTTGTGTATCTACTCAAGGTGTTGGCTTAAATTGCTATTCATGGTACTGTATTGTTTCACTCATCTACAACTCTGTTGCTAAACTAACATTTTCCATTCCATATTCTATCCAATTTTTTTCTTTTGAAATAAATGTCTGTTTATTTTGTTTTGAGTTACTTGCTAGTCAAATTTCATTATGCCTTAGTTCCTCAGTTTATAGCACAATTACATAGTGTCCTCAGCAGGCACATTAAAGATGTTCTTTTATTAAGTATAGAATTTGTTGATACTGATACTTTATATTCAACAACCTTTATTAATAATTTATTTTGTATTGTAATTGAACAGAGCTTCAAGTGCCAAACCATGTGTCCTCTTTTTCGACGAGTTTGAATCAATTGCACCTCGTCGTGGACATGACAGTACAGGAGTTACTGATCGGGTTGTGAATCAACTGCTTACACAGATGGATGGTGTTGAAGGCCTCACTGGTGTCTACATTCTGGCTGCAACCTCAAGGCCAGACCTTATTGATCCAGCACTGCTCCGGCCAGGTATTTGCTAGTGCACTATTGAAGGCATTCCACGAGTTAGCATATTATTTATAAAACAATAGGTATTTTATAAGTTTCATTTCATTGTATGATAGAGTTAAGTCAGAGAACAGATTGAGGGTTTGTCAAGACAGTTTGATCATTTAGAAAAAAGGGAGGCAGATAAGTTGATCAAAAGGATGCATAAATCTCGGGTGTGTGCAGGGAACAGCCAAGTAGGTCATTTGAATTGAGAGTCTCGTGCACTTTTGGAAACACAGCTAAAGAATAGATGATGGTAAATGTTTTATTTTTTAGGGGAAGGGGTCGCTCTCTACCTTAGTGGGAAATGGGTGATGTATTAAAAAATAACTAAAGAACTTTTGCTTACTCCTTTGTCAGATAAATGGAATACTGTAGATGGGTTTATGTTGCCTCATACATTATAAAGTTCAAGTAAAACAAAACCAATGCAGGGTGTCCATAATTCTTGAATGACTTAAAATGCTATATTTTTACTTAAAAATATGACTTGTAGCTAAGATTTTATCATATTACTTCTTCACTAAGAGCAAAATACATATGAAAGTCATTCAGCTCTGTTAGTAAATGAGCAATAGTATGGATGAATATGTAGGTCTCACTTTTTGGCACTTCATTAATATACCTTAGTGTTTAACTTGTCTTATAGAAATGAATGATACAGCTTATATAAATATGTTTATATGATGTGTTTATCTTCTCTTTTTTTAGGACGCCTAGACAAGTGTGTGTTTTGCCCCATTCCATCATTAAGTGATAGAAAAGAAATTCTTCTGGTCCTTAGTGAAGCTATGGAGTTAGGTGATGATATAGACTGGGAAGAGGTTGCTAGGGCCACAGAGAATTTTACTGGTGCAGACCTCCAGAGTCTCTTGTCTACGTCTCAAGTTCTGGTTGCTCAAGAAGTTCTTGGAAATACTTTGTATGATGGTGTAATCCAAGATGACCAGAGTAATGTGAAGGAAGAAGTGACAGACACTGCAAATACTGTTTCTCATGATGTAGCTGAGTTAGCAGACTCAACCGTGTACTCTAGAGATGATAGTGTAGATCAGGAACACGAAAGAGATGTTCATTTGAAACATACCATACAGGAAAAAATAATTTTTGAAAAAGATAAAGAGAAAGTGACATTTAGTCAAAAAAGAATTTTTTTTAAAAGGGATTGTAATTTAGATATTGAAAATAAGACTGATGATAAAAATGTTCTAGTTGCAAAAGTTACTGACAAACTGGAATGTGACACTCCACAAAATAATGCTTGTGGCCAGTCTAAAAACTTGAAATTTAGAGTTTTTAAAAGACATATTGATGCTGCACTGAAGGAAGTAAAACCTTCTGTTACATTGATTGATCGGCTAAGATATGAACATTTATATGCAACTTTCACCAAGTCTAAAGAGGGAAGCTTTGGTAAACCATCTCCAGGGAAGAGAGCTACTCTAGCATAAACAAGATAGAAAAATAAATATTATTTTTGAACTAATTTTTTGTGGCTATTACAGAAAAAAAAGGTGTTGAATACATTAAAATGGAGAGAATTAATTTTAATTTTAGAGACAGTGTGATTTCATTTTTATATTCAAACTGTTTTGTTTTGGTCTACTTGTTATAGTACTTGTGAGCACAATTAATGTTGGACATTTATTGAGATTGTATCATTGTTCAGTTAAATACTTAATGATATTTTTGAAGAAATTACAATAAAATGCATGATTGCAAATATGAAAAAATACCACAGTGAAATAGAAAATAAAACATTAGCATTTTCATGTGCTTACATACACATCTTCAGAGGAAGTGGCGTGTGTAAGCACATGAAAGATACTTGTGTAAGCACATGAAAGATACTTGTGTAAGCACATGAAAGATACACAAATAACCCGCACATAAAAGACAGAAGCTTAAGACGATGTTTCGGTCCGACTTGGACCATTGACAAAGTCACACTGAACAGAGCTTCAAGTGCCAAACCATGTGTCCTCTTTTTCGACGAGTTTGAATCAATTGCACCTCGTGTGACTTTGTCAATGGTCCAAGTCGGACCGAAACGTCGTCGTAAGCTTCTGTCTTTTATGTGCGGGTTATTTGTGTATCGTTCCAGTCACGGTATTGTGCCTTTTTGTTATTTATGAAAGATACTTGTGTAAGCACATGAAAGATACTTGTGTAAGCACATGAAAAAATTTCTTGTGTAAGCACATGAAAGATACTTGTGTAGCACTGAAAGATACTTGTGTAAGCACATGAAAGATACTTGTGTAAGCACATGAAAGATACTTGTGTAAGCACATGAAAGATACTTGTGTAAGCACATGAAAGATACTTGTGTAAGAACATGAAAGATACTTGTGTAAGCACATGAAAGATACTTGTGTAAGCACATGAAAGATACTTGTGTAAGCACATGAAAGATACTTGTGTAAGCACATGAAAGATACTTGTGTAAGCACATGAAAGATACTTGTGTAAGCACATGAAAGATACTTGTGTAAGCACATGAAAGATACTTGTGTAAGCACATGAAAGATACTTTGTAAGCACATGAAAATACTTGTGTAAGCACATGAAAGGGTACTTGTGTAAGCACATTTAAAGATACTTGGTAAGCACATGAAAGATACTTGTGTAAGCACATGAAGATACTTGTGTAAGCACATGAAGATACTTGTGTAAGCACATTTAAAGATACTTGTGTAAGCACATGAAAGATACTTGTGGGAAGCACATGAAAGATACTTGTGTAAGCACATGAAAAATACTTGTGTAAGCACATGAAAGATACTTGTGTAAGCACATGAAAGATACTTGTGTAAGCACATGAAAGATACTTGTGTAAGCACATGAAAGATACTTGTGTAAGCACATGAAAGATACTTGTGTAAGCACATGAAAGATACTTGTGTAAGCACATGAAAGATACTTGTGTAAGCACATGAAAGATACGTAAGCACATGAAAGCACTCGGGTTGTATTTTCTATTTCATTGTGGTATTTTTTCTTAATAATATTTTATTTTATTGATGCACAGCCTTAATGGTCAGTAAGCAGATTTATGTTGCTGCATATATTATTTGATGGACTGTTAAAAAATTACTTTTATAGTTTAATTGCACCTAAAATCAAATTAATGCTAATATTTTTTCCTCAGTACAAGAAAGGAATTTTTGCTTTTAGGCATATACCTGATTAGTTTTGCTTTTAATGGCATGCTAGTACTTCTCAGCAGTATGTTCTTAAAAATAACCACTGGCAATTCTAGTTTGTGTCACGTGTTTGCCACCCACTTACATCATTGGTTTCCCCTACACATTCAAATCACCATGAAAGTACTGTATTTTTACCAGCTACATACAAGTCAAAGCCAAACTTATCAGCTCTCTTTAGCTTTCACTTTGAACTTCAATGCTCTTCCGCTTATGACTTATTGTATTCAGATTACTTTTTTTTTTTTATTAGCACACTGGCCGATTCCCACCAGGGCAGGGTGGCCCGAAAAAGAAAAACTTTCACCATCATTCACTCCATCACTGTCTTGCCAGAAGGGTGCTTTACACTACAGTTTTTAAACTGCAACATTAACACCCCTCCTTCAGAGTGCAGGCACTGTACTTCCCATCTCCAGGATTCAAGTCCGGCCTGCTGGTTTTCCTGAATCCCTTCATAAATGTTACTTTGCTCACACTCCAACAGCACGTCAAGTATTAAAAACCATTTGTCTCCATTCACTCCTATCAAACATGCTCACGCATGCCCGCTGGAAGTCCAAGCCAGTCGCACACAAAACCTCCTTTACCCCCTCCCTCCAACCTTTCCTACGCCGACCCCTACCCCGCCTTCCTTTCACTACAGACTGATACACTCTTGAAGTCATTCTGTTTTGCTCCATTCTCTCTACATGTCCGAACCACCTCAACAACCCTTCCTCAGCCCTCTGGACAACAATTTTGGCAATCCCGCACCTCCTCCTAACTTCCAAACTACGAATTCTCTGCATTATATTCACACCACACATTGCCCTCAGACTGACATCGCCACTGCCTCCAGCCTTCTCCTCGCTGCAACATTCATCACCTATGCTTCACACCCATATAAGAGTGTTGGTAAAACTATACTCTCATACATTTCCCTCTTTGCCTCCAAGGACAAAGTTCTTTGTCTCCTAAGTGCACTGCTCACCCTTTTTCCCTCATCAATTCTATGATTCACCTCATCTTTCATAGACCCATCCGCTGACACGTCCACTCTCAAATATCTGAATACATTACCTCCTCCATACTCTCTCCCTCCAATCTGATATCCAATCTTTCATCACCTAATCTTTTTGTTATCCTCATAACCTTACTCTTTCCTGTATTCACTTTTAATTTTCTTCTTTTACATACCCTACCAAATTCATTTCCCCCAACCTCTGCAACTTCTCTTCAGAATCTTCCAAGAGCACAGTGTCATCAGCAAAGAGCAACTGTGACAACTCCACTTTATGTGTGATTCTTTATCTTTTAACTCCATGCCTCTTGCCAGACCCTCGTATTTACTTCTCTTACAACCCCATCTATAAATATATTAAACAACCACGATGACATCACACATCCTTGTCTGAGGCCTACTTTTACTGGGAAATAATTTCCCTCTTTCCTACATATTCTAACTTGAGCCTCACTATCCTCGTAAAAACTCTTCACTGCTTTCAGTAACCTACCTCCTATACCATACACCTGCAACATCTGCCACATTGCCCCCCTATCCACCCTGTCATACGCCTTTTCCAAATCCATAAATGCCACAGAAACCTCTTTAGCCTTATCTAAATACTGTTCACTTACAGGTTTCACTGTAAACACCTGGTCCACACACCCCCTATCTTTCCTAAAGCCTCCTTGTTCATCTATCCTATTCTCCGTCTTACTCTTAATTCTTTCAATAATAACTCTACCATACACTTTACCAGGTATACTCAACAGTTTATTCCTCTATAATTTTTGCACTCTCTTTTGTCCCCTTTGCCTTTATACAAAGGAACTATGCATGCTCTCTGCCAATCCCTAGGTACCTTACCCTCTTCCATGCATTTATTAAATAATTTATTAAATAATGGCAGTTTGGAGGGATATGTTGTGTATCTTTATATGTATATGCTTCTAAACTGTTGTATTCTGAGCACCTCTGCAAAAACAGTGATAATGTATGAGTGTGGTGAAAGTGTTGAATGATGATGAAAATATTTTCTTCTTGGGGATTTTTTCTTTTTTGGGTCACCCTGCCTCGGTGGGAGACGGCCGACTTGTTGAAAAAAAAAAAAAAGCACCAACCACTCCCCACCTGCTTTTAACATTTCTATCTTTATCCCATCAATCCCAGCTGCCATACCCCCTTTCATTTTACCTACTGCCTCACGAACTTTCCCCACACTCACAACTGGCTCTTCCTCACTCCTACAAGATGTTATTCTTCCTTGCCCTATTCATGAAATCACAGCTTCCCTAGATTCAGATTACTATTAAGTTCTTTCTTTCTTTCAACACACCAGCCGTATCCCACTGAGGCAGGGTGGCCCGAAAGGAAAAACGAAAGTTTCCTCCTTTTACATTTAGTAATATATACAGGAGAAGGGGTTACTAGCCCCTTGCTCCCGGCATTTTAGTCGCCTCTTACAACACGCATGGCTTATGGAGGAAGAATTCTGTTCCACTTCCCCATGGAGGTAAGAGGAAATAAACAAGAACAAGAACCAGGAAGAAAATAGAAGAAAACCCAGAGGGGTGTGTATATATATGCTTGTACATGTATGTGAAGTGTGACCTACGTGTAAGTAGAAGTAGCAAGACGTACCTGAAATCTTGCATGTGTATTTTTTTTTTTATTTATTATCACACCGGCCGATTCCCCACCAAGGCAGGGTGGGCCCCAAAAAAGAAAAACTTTCACCATCATTCACTCCATCACTGTCCTTGCCAGAAGGTGTGCTTTACACTACAGTTTTTAAACTGCACTTAACACCCCTCCTTCGAGTGCAGGCCTGGACTTCCCATCTCAGGACTCAAGTCCGGCCTCCGGGTTTCCCCGAATCCTTCATAAAGTTACTTGCTCACACTCCAACAGGGACGTCAGTTTAAAAACCATTGGTCTCCATTCACTCCTATCAGACACGCTCCCCGCATGCCTGCTGAAGTCAAGCCCCTCGCACCCAAAACCTCCTTTACCCCCTCCCTCCAACCCTTTTCCCAGGCCGACCCCTACCCCGCCTTCCTTCCACTACAGACTGATACACTCTTGAAGTCATTCGTTTTCGGGTCCATTCTCTCTACATGTCCGAACCACCTCAACAACCCTTCCTCAGCCCTCTGGACAACAGTTTTGGTAATCCCGCACCTCCTCCTAACTTCCAAACTATGAATTCTCTGCATTATATTCACACACACATTGCCCTCAGACATGACATCTCCACTGCCTCCAGCCTTCTCCTCGCTGCAACATTCATCACCCACGCTTCACACCCATATAAGAGCGTTGGTAAAACTATACTCTCATACATTCCCCTCTTGCCTCCAAGGACAAAGTTCTTTGCCTCCACAGACTCTAAGTGCACCACTCACTCTTTTTCCCTCATCAATTCTATGATTCACCTCATCTTTCATAGACCCATCCGCTGACACATCCACTCCCAAATATCTGAATACGTTCACCTCCTCCATACTCTCTCCCTCCAATCTGATATTCAATCTTTCATCACCTAATCTTTTTGTTATCCTCATAACCTTACTCTTTCCTGTATTCACCTTTAATTTTCTTTTGCACACCCTACCAAATTCATCCACCAATCTCTGCAACTTCTCTTCAGAATCTCCCAAGAGCACAGTGTCATCAGCAAAGAGCAGCTGTGACAACTCCCACTTTGTGTGTGATTCTTTATCTTTTAACTCCACACCTCTTGCCAAGACCCTCGCATTTACTTCTCTTACAACCCCATCTATAAATATATTAAACAACCACGGTGACATCACACATCCTTGTCTAAGGCCTACTTTTACTGGGAAAAAATTTCTCTCTTTCCTACATACTCTAACTTGAGCCTCACTATCCTCGTAAAAACTCTTCACTGCTTTCAGTAACCTACCTCCTACAACCATACACTTG